TTTTTGTGTATTATCATTGTATCGGTTTCGACATATTTCTCGGCATTTGGAATGTGAAAAGAAAGCGAAAAGAAAGTTTACATTAGTTAAGTTTTCAGCAGTGCATAACATCATGCCAGGGCCCATAGTTCGAGTTCTGAAGATTAATTAAAAGAAAAAAAATTCTAAATGCAGTCGCCCATCGGCAGGGAATTTCACCTCCTTCGAGTGGGTCTCCGTCAGTAAATAAAAAGTTTATCACAAAAATCCATCTATATACAATATATGAATATGTACGTGTATATGTATGAATGTATATTTATAAAATTGATGCATTGTAACTTCTGAAGTGATTTTCGTCCCAGCTCATCATGTCAGAAATACACCCCCAGGGGAGTACCGCAATTAAGATTTTTTTTCTTTAACTTAAGGATAATGGCCGAACCAAGACCCGAGCCTTGGCTTTCATAGTTTCTATAAAAGTTTTCTGTATTGAATATGAACTTCAACCAAGTACATATTGACCCTTATTCTCTACGCCGTTTTACCTTATCTAAGGTTGCTTCAGTTGGTTATCGCCGAAAACCTTGGTCAAATGATTATCAGTGACTCTTCGGTCGGTCAATTTTTATTACCGTAAAACTAGTGTTGCAGAGGCCAAACCAATAATGGTCGTTTTTTCGATATTCGTGGTTTGATGCATCATGAATTCGTTCCAACGAGACAGACGGTCGATTAAAGAGTATTATTTGTGAATTTTGAGGCGTTTGCGCGAAAAAATGTGTCATAATTTTAAATCCTTTAATTTACATGGTAGTGGATAATTCCCTTCCAATCCACCACACACTTAGCATCACTTTGCCTGCCGACAATTTAGGCTTTAGAGCTGTTCGCGGAGGGCCCTTTGACCTTGTGGTCAGTCAATTTTTTCTTGCGTTAATTCATAAGGTTCTTGGACTGTTGTGCAACAAAGCGGTTTCCATTCCGAAGGCCGGTAGAAGCTTGCATAAGTCACCTAAAGACATAAGATCAATTACTTCTTTTCTGCAGAAAATTTTGGAAAGGCTGATTCACTTTTATATGCAAGATTGACTCAGAAAGAATACTGCAAAATTAGTTCAGTGGAAAACGTCTTCCACACAGTTGCCATATGAACAGGACCAGCCTTCCATTTTTAGAATTTTGCTGTATAAGAGAAAGCAAAAAGCGCTGAAAGAGCCACCACATGCGCGGCTGCGAGGTGCCCCTAGTCCGACCGGGAGAAGGACAGGGAAGCTCTTTTCCACCTTACGCTCAACAATCTTATGTGACGCTGTTGACTGTATATTTTGCCAGCTAAGACTTCGGGATTTCCCAAAACTCCTCTGTCGTGTTGTATCGTCTATTAACTTTCGTACTCATAACTGTTCTGAGTTCTAGATTATATCGTTCAATATGGGTAAAAAGTTAAACAGGTTTACGGAAACTGTTATGCTTAAGGCGACGCTCCCCTGGTTTTGAAACAAAAATTGCCATATATTTGTAGAGTATTTGCTTAAAAGGATTTTGCAATAAGATGAATATTTTTCAAATCGCAAATTCTCGACCACACACCCATCTCACGCACGCTGCGAGACTTTCAAAAAACTTTGAATGGTGTTTTTCTCGAAACCTTATTTTCCGATCTAACTTCAAGCCCCGGGCTTGTACTGTCTGTCCGATTTCTTATATCTAAAAACAGTTTCAAAGTATATATGTACATAGTTGTTTGTTGGTCTGGAACCTAAGATAAACATTAATAATTATTTATTTTTATTTTTTAATGTAATTGCAGTGAAAAAAAGTAGCAAAAAATTTAATTTTATAATTGCCATTAGTATTATGCCATGAATTTATCCTTAAAATTGCTTCAATTGAGGTCCATAACCTAGAAAATTTCATGATCTGCAAGTAATGACAACGATTTTTGAAATCAGTCTACTACAAGAAGCTGTTGGCTTGAAGTTGTTGTGCCAAGTTTTTCGCGCAGTGGCCGACGGAAAGTGCCACTTTGAGCCGTCAATTTTAACTATTTTTTTTGCCGCTTTAAAAACTCAAATAATAAACAAATTTAATAATCAAAATCGGAAGTTCTTACGCCTTTTCTTTCTCACACAAAAAAAAATTACAAATTTTGCTTGACTTTTGACCAATAGAAGAGTAGGGTCCCCTTAAACCAAATATTTCAATCAATTCAGTTGAAGCATTGGGAAATGTTATCGTAAAGTAATTTTAAATTTATTCATGAAAATTGTTCAAATCATTTAAAAAAATTAAAAAAAAAAAAACGTAAATATTGGATGAGTGCATAAGTTCGTGCCCGATTCCACTGGATGCCGTTCGAATCGTTTGAGAGTGGCGCTCGTGAAAGAAATATATACATATTATATATCGTTGGGAAGGTGACAGTCCGAACTGTAAATCAAGCATAAAATAACTTTATTTTGATTTGAACTGCTTAGTGAAAAGACACATGGAAGATGGACAACGAAAAAGATCATATGCGTCATATTATGCTATATGAATTCCGCAAAGGAAAAACAGTAACTAAAGATATTCGCGAAGTTTATTTGGACCGTGCTCCAGCACTCCGCACAGTAAAGAAATGGTTCGCGAAATTTCGTTCTGGAGATTTTAACCTCGAAGATCAACCTCGCAGTTTAGTTGTGAATAACTCACGTATTTCGACGGAAGAGGGTGCCAGTGAATTGAACGTCAACAAATCAACTGCGTTTCGTCGTTTAAAAAAGGTTGGGAGTGGATTGCCGAATATGATGGCGAATACATAATTGATTAATAAAAGCGCTTTCTTCAAAAAATTTCAATTTTAGTTTGCACTTGAAATCGGGCACGAACTTATGCATCCAATATAAGGAATCGCAGAGTTATTCTGTCATACTGTCATTCAAAAAGCGCGCTATCGAAGTAATGACGACAGCCAAAAAGAATGGTAGAAAAAATATCGTAAGCAAATTCTACATGATTATGAAAATTATAGTGCAATCGTATATCTTTTACGCGTAATATGTTTCATTCTCATTTGTTTGTAAACTATTCTATTCGTTATCACTATTAAATGTCTGATATCTCGGTTGTTTGCGGAAATGTGCGAACTAATTGTGATATGCGAAAAATGTTTTCACATGAAAACTATGTACGAGTACATTTATCAATTTTTCAGCATATACATAATAAGAATGTAATTATATCAATAATAATTATATTATTTATTGGTGCCTTTTTTAACCGCTGAAACGACTTATTTGTCACACACGAGCGCAATTTGTAAAAAGCTGATTTTTTATAATTTTTAGATTTTAGTCGAATCAGCACTAGAACCCTGACCCTCCCAGGTTAATACGCAATGCTAATTACTCGGCCAGTGTGGAGTCAGTCACTGCTAAGCTGCTCCACTACGGTCTAACTCTGAACTCGAACCCCTAATGTCAGATATTGAAACGTGAAAACAATTGCACAGAAGTGCTCAGTTTTGACCAACAGGAGGGGAATTGTGTTTCAGGTGGACTACATCAGACCAAACATATTGATAGTTACACGCCAGCAGCACCGTTAATTTGGTTGGGAGGTTTTTATCCTTCCATTCCTTTCAGCCAACTCACCAAACACTTAGTCAACTACCAACTGACTTATTTTCGTATGAGTTAATATTATTTTTTAGATCCAGCTATGTGTATGTAGTTAACTAGATTTGGTTACGCAAATCGGCACCTTGTTACTTTTTTATTTATTGTTGATTTGCTGCCTAAAGTTCCTGCAGTTCATCCTCGCCAACAAGTGAGGTCATCCGCTGTCAGAAGAGCGTCTGGCACTCACCGTCTACAGGCTTTCTTGCAATTGTTCGTTCTCAACCAGGCCTCATTTGAAGGTAAGTGACGCAAGCAGGCAATCCGTGTGGAGACTGACCTCTAGGTTCGACATTGTACAAAATATATCGCAAATGTGCTCGTGCGTTCAAAATATTGCCACTGTAGTTCAGGTGTGTTTCAACTGCGATCAACTTCAACTGGAGACCGTTCGCATTTCGCAAACTTAATTGGGTGAGATTTTGCATTGAGACTATAATGGAGAAGACTTATAAACTTACATCATTTCAAGAACTCAAGTCTCATGACAATACGACGCGATTCCACATAGCTTAATGGGCTGGAGAATGCTTGGCAGAAGATGAACATTTCTTATTTAACGAAAAATCATATTTTCCGATGAAGTTCATTTCCACTTCAGTGGCTGCGGTAACACGCCAGTTGTGGCGCAGAAAATCCACTGTTATTCAAGTAAAACCAACGCCATGCAGCACAGCCTTAATCCCCATATTACGAACGTTCTCACGAGAAAGACATGACTGCTTAAATTCAATTGCAGCGGGCTCCAAGCAAAGATTCACGAGATAGTCGTCGATCTTATGACCCAATAGCTAGCTGAGATTTAGGTGGCAAAGTTGAGCTGGGCTACATCCTATACAACATCATACAGTGATGTTAGTACAACACCGTGTCTTCCAAATGGCAATCAATACGTAATGTTAACCATTCGGTTGCCGCAGCAGCGCTTTTACATACTAAAAAAAAAAGCAACAACCTTTCGAATTTCACAATAAAATGTTCGCACATTCATTGTTTTAATCTGGAATGTACAAAATTTGTAAACATTTATGATGATTCAGTTGGAAAACATTAGATTAGAACACATTTACATATCTGTATCTACACACACACTCTCACACATACACTCGTAACGGCGCAACAGCGCTCAAAATCACACTTTCGGCGGAAATGAAATGAGTCACTTTAAGACGCATGCGGCGGATGCGGATGTTGTGTAGTCAAATCACAATTGCACATATAGAAATACTTATATATACGAGTACACATGTATTTATGCACTTTTGTACGTTGTTGTGAAAAGCGTATTTATTTAAAAAAAAAAAAATCGAAATTTCAAAAATTTATTATTTTGTATTAGCCAAATAACGTTATCTTTACCTTTCTGTTGAGGTTTGGGGATTTCGAGGAATTTTGTACTTTTTTATTTTTTGTTCTATTTTTTTTGCTTTTGCTTTTGTAGACGGTTAAATATTATCTTATTCGAATACTACAATTATAACTTGAAAGATTTTTGCATTTTTCATTATCAAATTATTTTTTTTTTTTTATAAAAATCACTTCAACTTTTCTTGATAATTTTAAAATTTTTCTTTTTTAACCACTAATTTCCCACTGAATTGTCGTATTCTCTTGAAATGGCGCAATTTATGAATTTATTTATCGTCATGTATGCCTGTATGTACATACATATGTGTATGTAGATGTAATTTTTTTCACTTGCATAAAAACACATGCCTGTTTGTTTGCATAATTTTATTAATTTTTTTTTATATTCCGCACTTATTTAGATGATTTGCAAAAATTAGTAGCAGAATGTAAGTATGTATACACAAATTGTAGGTGCATACATATGTATGTATGTACAATATATACATTTGTTATGTATCTAAATATGAACAGCGAGAAGGTATGAAAACAATTTTCACTTTATTAATTAATTTGTTGATGCAACAATTTTCACGCGCGTAAATTTTCCGCACACACATACATACAAACACACACACACGCGCGCGCGCACATGTACGCATGCCTATGAATGCAATAAAAACGCGCACAAATAGATTTTCAGCTCATTATCTTATGACAAACCCACCGTATGGCTGACCAGGCGGGCGCACGGGAGTCCCCACTCGCTGTACCGAAAAATAATAATAAAAAAAAAAAAATGATCAAAAACAATTTGGAGCTAGTATATTTTGACCGTCGGTAGGCGGCATGCGACGCACGGTTTGTTGCTTGCTTGATTGCTTTGTTGATAACGCACACATATGCGCAACCACAACTTCCGGCGGCGGTGGAGCGGCGCTGTGTGTTTACCAGCAGCTGATGATGTAGTGCGCGTAGGAAAGGAGTGCTGCGCGGCGACGAGAGCAGCAATTTGAAGCGCACACATTACACTGAGTATGAAAGAAAAAAAAATTTAATAAGGCACCTTAAAAATGTGTACATACATACATATTTATTATACGAGCACTTAATGATGTCTGATTTTTCTTCTTCTTCTTACTTAATTTAACTGTCACGCGCAATTTGTTTTTGAGTTTGATTTTATAATGACTTTTTAACTAAATATTGACTTTTTTGTTTAATTTTTCCATAAAAAATACTTTCTTTTAACAATGCGGAAGTACACATTTTTTAACTATGCTGCGATGTGTGTACGTCGCCGCTTTAATTTGTGAGTGGCTTCAACATTTATTTGTTATATTTTTTTTCTCTTTTTTTACCACATCAAACATTTCGCTTGTTTGTTTTCAAACATTTTAATTTGATTTCATTTATTTTTAATTTCATTTTTTATTTTTTATTTTTCAATTAGCTAAACGTGTGCGTTGTATTTTTCAAAAATTCCAATTCTACGCAAATAGATACGAATTCTGCCGCCGAACGCACTGAATCGACTACAACGCTGAGTTAACCGATTCGCGCACTATGAATTTGATTTCAATCCGTGAAGAATTTTTACACGCCAAAAACGAAATGTGTGTGCAGGTTGGGTTCAGTAGAAAAGCAATAAGAAATAAATAAAAACCCATAAAACTAGCTCTCGGCTCGGCGCAGTAAATGAATGACGGTGCGCATTTACGAGTAAACAGGCGGCGGCGGCGGCGGCGACGGCGACGGCCACAGTTGGCCAACAAGCTAACGAGCGAGCGAGCGTACGTACGAACGAACGAACGAACTAACAAGCTGCTATAGGAGGCGCTGTAAACAAATAATATACGACTAGCCGACCACCGATCGCATGCTCCGATCAAAGACAAAGCGTTTTTTTTTGTATTTCTTTCTTGTTTCGCTCTATCGTAAGCGATGTGTAAACGCGTCGTGCGCAAACCAACAACGTACTGGCGCTCTAACGACGAGCGAGTGACTGATCAGCGTGCGGATATGAATGTAATGAAAAGAACAGAACAGAACAGTATAAAATGTGCTGGGAGTCATCATCATCATTGAAGGAAAAAAAGAAAAACAGAGTGGGGAAGTGGCGAGCACGCAACTGCCGAAAATATCAAATGGAACTTATGAAAACACACCACCGCCGCACAGTGGGTTATGCGACGAAGAAATGTGTGCAAAGAAGCGAATTAAAAAAGAAATTATGTATATTGAGAAATTTATTTCCTTCATTTTAGGGTTTTAATGAATTTGAATGAAAAATCTTTTTTTGAGCTAAAGCTAAACTTAACAATCGCTTGGTGCACTTTTTTTTTATTTTACAGAGTTTTTTCTTCTTTTTCGCTATCTACGTTCTACATATGTATGTATGTATAAATATTTGTATAAAGTGGAGGCTTTCGCATATTCATTTCCTCCCTGCGGATAAGGAATGTAAGAAATCACCCGTGGTAAGGCATGCGTAAGAGGCGACTAAAATCCAATAGTCGGGTCCGGTCTTTATACCGGAACGACCCGGATTATTATCCGGCCAATGGGAAAAATTTTTGCCACAACAACATATTCATTGTTTTAATTTAATTTTTATTATTGACAGTATATGTCAAGCCCTCCGAGTGTCGTTCTGACAAAAAACAAAAGCGCCTCATGCTCCTCAACCGTTTGGAATTACATGTCTCCATTTGTTGGAAAAACATCAAAGCGCATACTCGAAATTGAGAGAGGAGCTTGACCGCAAATCACATCAGCGGTTACAAAGCGCCAATTGTATAATATTGGAAATACATCTGGAAAAGACTGTGTATACTCGTATCAGTAACATATTCTGCGAAATTATTGCCTGGAAATGATATCTTAAAAAACACTGACGTTGAGTTCTATTTTTTACTTTAATTGGAAGATGATGAAAAGATCTACACACACCGCTCCCTTCAAGTTTAAACCGGCCTTCGATAGAACGAAAAGGAGATGCCTTTCGATTTTGAAAAGTAACAAAGTCTTCTATCGAAGAATAAAAACGAAATTGTGGAAATAGCTGATTTTTCTTATTTTGATTAAATTATGCCGAAAAGTGAACGGTGATGTCACCTAATGAGCCGGCGCATGAAGTTTCGGCATAAAGGCTTTGCTAACTATTTATAATATGTCTTATTGTATTAGCTACGGCGAGAACCGCACACGATGGAACGATTAAAATAGTTTAGCAAATTGAGGGACGGCCAATACGTTGTCTGGGTAATGTCGTCCGTATGGGCAACAACACTTCAGCTTTGAAAGTTTTCGACGCTGTAACCGCTGCTGGCAGCAGAGAAAGAGGAGCAGTTGCAAGTAACAAGCAAAGCTTGACGCGCGCTGTTGTTTACGAAATTAGAAGCAGTGCATACGATGATTAAGTTATTTAGCATACTCTTTTGTCACACCTGCCTCAAGGATCCCAAGCTTTTATTTAATATTCGTGTTTACAACACGCAAAAACACTATAATGGCTGGCAGGAGATAGTCACAGAAACTCGCTTTGAATTGTTCAATTGAGAAATTATTAAAAAAAAAGTTAGCCGGTAGGTAGACAGGACATTTACATATTATTAAACACATCGCTTTTACGAGTACAGTACCCCACTGTGCTTCCTTGATACCTACGTCGTCGTCGTCTTCGTTATCGTCAGCAAGACGGTTGTTTTGTAGCTGTTGCCTACAGATTCTTGTATGTTTACGTGTATATTTCTGCGCTCGGAAAGGTGAGCGAGCGCCTGAGCTGAGAGAGTGAGCGCGGTAGCGAGTGCATGAACGAACAACTCACCGACTGATCAGACATACAACAATTACTCGACGCGCCGATAAAGGCAATAATACAGGGCGGCTCGGCACGGTGCTTCACATTCATGACGACTTCAAGAGCGCATGCGAATACTTACACATGTACACATGCTGTATGTGCGAGTTGTATGCGCGCCGCCCGAAGCGAACCTCACTGCGTTGTTGTTCAAATCATGAATGAAAAACATTTCAAGTAATCACACGACATCGTAGCTATGTATAATACATACTCATACTATGAAAAATAAAGTATTAAAAATATGTAAAATAAAGTAGTACTATTTAAAAACAAAAAAAAAAAAAACAAAAAAATAAAGAAATAAGCTAGCAAACAACAGCGTTGAAAAAGCTGCGCGTGCACTAACATAAACAACAACCAACACCAATACATATGTACGTACATATTTATGTATGTATTATGCCTGCACGTCTATGTTTATTTATGTACATTTGTACATAAATTTTCATATATACATATGTCAATAAATGTAGCTGAGTCTACATACATCCATATGTAGTCAGATATATTTAAACATGAAGCCACCATCATAACGTCAATATGGTGTGGTGAGTTCACGATCAGCTCTACCTGGCACTTCAGAGAAGTTAGCGTAGAAAGTGCTGGACACTTTAGTAGGTAGAGTACGAGAGGGAGAACGAGATAGAGAGCACCATGTTTGAAGAAAGAGTAGAAAAATGGTGCGATGAGAGCATATGCATGTCTGGTGTTTAAGCCAAGAACTCTTGGGCAGTATGCATGTACGTGTATGCTCAATTATCCTTTGTCTCAAATAAAACACAGTCGACACTTTTGTTTACATTTTTAAGTGCTCATGCGTTGTAAAATCTTATTACGAATTCCTGGAATTGCCTTTCTATCTTCGAACACATATTTGTGGTGCCATTTTCGGTTTCTCTAATTATTTGAACATACACACATACATATCTATGTACATACTGTTCCTCACAATCTCTCGAATAATGTAGTGGTCATTATTGTAAAGTCTTCCACTTGGTTCGGGGAAAAATAAGAATATCCTTTAGAAAACTCAATTTTATTTCATTTATCAAGAGTAGATGCAATGGTTATTTATTGTTATTATTGTATATACAGGATTTTCCAATAAGAGCTCTTATTTTGATATTCAAAGAAAAATGGCATTTTTTGAGGCAAATGACCGGATGTTAATTTCAATTTAAACCGAAAGATATGCCATAAATAATGGAAAACAATATCAGCCAAATGGCCGCCACTGCTATGCTTACAGGACCGTATCCTTTTTATAAAATTTTCGATCACCAAATCGCAAAGTGGCTGCTCTATGCCCCCATAAGCTTCTCGAATTGCATCTTTGAGGTCACGAATCTTTCACGTGGCTACGAATCAAGAAGTCGTCTTAAATGAAAATATCTCGATGGCCAATGGCGATCACCTCTTCGGCAAAAAAAAAAAAAACTTTCCGCATTAGAAAATCATTAATCATTTATAGAAAGCGACATCCAGTCACCGTAACTTTTGCTGCAGCCGCATTTTCGAAAAAGTAGGGTCCATTGACCCCGGATAATTATAACGGATTAGGCATTCTATTACCCGAATATGATAAAAAATGAACTTAACGAGGTTTCAGACTGGATGCATGCAACTTCCGGCATATGCCAACCGACTGTTCTGGGCTGGATAGGGAAGCGAAGCGCGCTCGTGTTCTATTTCTGACGACACTTACAGAGTCATAATTTTTAAGTCAGCGAAAAAATTGTCATTGCATTTGAGAGTCGGTCACCTGCATACGAACAAATACGAAACTCTACAAATTCCTAATACCGTAAAAATATTCTCCAAAGTAGTTTTTGGGCCGACTGTCTCGGGAACTATTGGATTTTCGTCGTCTCTTACGACAGGCATGCCTTACCGCGAGTAAATTTTTGAGCCCTTAAGCCGTACTGGGTGGTGCAGAAGCGGAGACGATATCAACGTTTGTTTAAGCGGCCTTTTCGAGTCTTCGAGAGAAAGGTTTTGTGAACGATTTATGATTCTACAATGGCGATTACCGCAGTCGATGAAGCGAGGAGCGGTGCGAGTTAGGAGACAGCGGATACGCTGACAAATTCACATTGCCCGGGTAGATAAAATCGATCAAATTTTGAGAGTTTTCGGTGCAGTACTCATAGAGGGTAGTAATCTTTTAAGCAATCTTTTTTTCAATGGTACAACTGTATTTATGAAAATTAAAAATTTTGAACATAAATCAAAATAAC